AAGGAACTCGCGGTAATATACTGGAAAATACCATAAAAATATAATACATGGTCTCAAACTCTTTTCGGAGTACTTATAACCCATTAGGATCTATCTGGAAACTTCCTTCATAAGCTGAAAAAGGCTCAATAATACACATTACATCCTACAAAATATCCAAACTATCTAAATTTCTATGCATGAAATATTGATTCAAAAGTTTTGATTCACAATATGTTAAAAAATTTCAGTGTTATGATAAACCGGATGACATAACAAATGTTTTAAAATTTTCTATGATCTATTAATACAGTATAAGAGAATATCTCTTTCTCGAATTGACTTGATTTGTCTTGCTACACGCCTGACTACGTGTAAAATCAAATGATATCTATTCTATCAAAAAAAAAAAAGATTTTCTTCAAAAACAAAATACAACTGATGAATCTGAACTATTAAAATAGCTAAACACAAAAATAATATTTCTTAACTTCAGTTAAACTATTTTCTTTTTATTTAGGTGTTGAGATTGATAATTTAACAATGGTTGCCGATAAATATTCATCTGTACTTTATTCTATTCTCAATTTTCAGATGGATAATGATCAATTCTATACACAATTACAACGAAATATAAAAAAGAAAATTGAATTACATTTAAATGAAGTTGAAACTGAACCATTCGATTTTCTTACTGATTTATGTTGTTTAGATCATGTATCAGAATTATCTATATCAAATACAAATAATGAAAATGATAATGAACAACATTTATATAAATTTTTCCAAAATCAAAAATATTTAGAAAGTTTATTAAATCGACCAATTCTCTATTGGTATGAACTTATTAAAAAATATCTTTTGGAATGGGATTCATCGAAAAGAACTGTTATTCTACTTAAACCAAGTTGTGAGTTATTACTTGAACAACAAGGTAAATTAAAAATTGAAAGTAGATCTAGACAACAGAACAACCTCATATAACATAGAACTCATTTTGGGTGATAGATGACAGCTATTTTTTTCTTGAGTGTTCAATTGGAAATTAGCTGGACTATTTGTTTATTAAGATTTAATTCAATATGAAAAAAAAAACTTCAACATACAAAAAAATATCGATAAATTTCTTTTTTCTTTACAACCTGATTATTCTATATTCATAAATAAACGTTTAGTTGATATCTGTTTTTTTTTTGTTCAATGTGGAATAGAAACAAGAACAAATATATCTCAGTATATGCAGAACATATATAAAAGAAAAAAGAATAAATCTAATGTCAAACAATATAATGTGCACTTAACAAAGAAAGGTCACGAAATTTCAAAATGTCATTGTGCCCATAGGTAGGTTTTGTGGACTTTAGAATGTCCTGGAAATTTCACCTTAAAGGGATGTATTCTTCTTGAGATATTGAATGTTCAAAAATAATGAAGTGTCACGAAGAAAGATAAGAAAGCTCAGTATGTTCAACATTCGATACCTCAAGAAGAGCATATCCTTTTAGGCTAAAATTTTCAGGATATTTTGATATCCACGAGATCTACGTATAGGCAAAATATCAGATTGAAATTTTGTAATTCAATTTTTTTCACCAATACCGTATCAGAGATGAAAAATTGTAAAACTTATAATAACTCAAAAAGGATAGCGTACGAGAATGAACCCTTACAGGATTCTACTAGTCTGTCTCGTTGAAGGTTTCTTATAAGCAAAACATCAGTTCTATTGGTGAGTTATACTTGTCAACTTTCCTTCGTAAGAGTAATCATTTAAGACAAACAAATTATACCTGATAGAACATTCTACACATTTTCTTATGTCACCATACTATTTGTTCATATCAGTACACAGAGAATAGTAGGTATAAGTCTGTGTTCTGACATTTATTCATAAGATTGTTGACTGTATTTTTCAAATAAAAATAAATAAATCGACCTCGCCTATATGAATGTAATTCAACATATTCTACGAATAATATACTTCTTATATGTCTCTCAAAGTCAGTTACAACAAGTTCTTCGAGCATCTTAATTATCATTTTCCATATATGATATATTGAATTTCCTCTTGCAGAATTAGATTATTCATAAATAATTATTTAACTGAGAGTCAGGTATAATATTCTCTATTTAGAACAAGAAGAACAACGAATAGCCGAACGTCTTAATTCATTTAGTCCAAATGATCTTAAAAAATTAAAAGATGAACTTAATCAAGCTCGTTCAAATAATAAACAATCATCATCTCAATGTGCTAATATTTCACATCCATCAATCCCATTTAATAATCAATTACATCTACCACCAATAGAATATTATTCTAATAAAGATCAAATTGATCTTTTTCATAGTCCAAAAAGTCATTTCAATAGATATACTTTACATATTCCATTAAAAGATTTACCTCTAGATCTTCAATTATATCTTCCACTTTTTTCTAATTTACTTTTTCATACATCTATTCAATATGAACATATTCACTTAGATAAATATAATTTTTGTGAACGTATGACTCGTGATATTCTAAGTTATAGTGTATCAAATGGTCAATCATCTTCATCACCTATACAATCAAGATATGTTTGTGCTCATTATTTTGATACATTTATTATATCTTTACAATCAATAAGTAATGATGAAATCTATAAGAATACAATTGATTATTTTCGTTATGTACTTTATGGAACAATATTTAATGATTATAAAATAATAATTGAAGAATGTGAAAAACAATTAAAAATTTTTATTGAATCATTACAAGATGGTCATACAATTCATGAAGCATATTTTAATTGTTTAGTTAATTCATCGAATTTAAATAACTATTATCACCGAATGAATATTTTTTTACAAAAAAATTTATTTGAAAAAATTTGCAAACAACCAGATAAATATAAAAATGAAATTATATCAAAACTTGAACGTATTCGATTATTTGTATTAAAAAATTTGTCTCAGATGCATTTGACTATATGTGGCAATATGGAATTAATTGAAGGAAATTGGCATATTATTGAACAATTTATGCGTGAAAGTAAATTAAAAAGTCAAATAGAAATTGAAAACAATGAAATAAAAGGAAAATACATTCCAACTGAATCACCAGCTACGATTATTGGTAGTCCACATGAAGAATCAGGGTGAGTTTTTCTTATAAACGTTATAAATTTTCTAATATCGATTAATACAATACAAAACTGTTAAGACAAAATTAGAAATCTTTGAAAAAAAAAATGAATATGTTAAATGGTGTAATATTACAAACATTTTTTCTTAACTGAAGAAGAATGTACGTATAATAGAAACAAACGAAAGTAGCTTTAGTAAAATGATCAGTGTCGATAGTTCGATTTATGAGAAATGACTCGAGAATTTGGTAATATTAGATAGCCGTTTTTGAATTTTAATAGTTATCGAAAAAAGAGTGAGTTCTTTTTGTTATTGATATATATATATATATCAAGGTATTTGATAGAACAAGCGAGGATGATTTTGATTACGAATTTAATAAGAATGAGATATTCAATTGTGTTTCATTAATGATTTTTCTACACGATAAATTTTGTTTTGTTTCTACAATGCGATCATATTCGTCTCTTCTGCCGATTCTGCTTTGTGAATATTTTTTCTTATTTGACTCAAAAAAAAAAAAAAAAGGATCGACAATCAGAATATAATCATTGCTGAACCATTATTATTAAAGGTTACCGTTATCTGACATGAAATAATATTAAGATTTAACCTTCTCGACTTGTTCCGCGTTTGAAAACTTCAATAAGTTCTACATTTTTATTTTTCTCTATGCTAAACGTGGATATTCACAAGAACTCAAAGATATATCTATTTATCTTACATTTTAGTATATAATCAATCTTTTATTCATAAATGGATTTCAGTGAAAACATTCACAAGGTGAATTTTAAAACCTGACTAATCATATAGAACAGTCAAGCTGATAAATGATTGCTTTTATTCAAATTTCATTAGCGCTTCCTATAATAAAGGACATGTAAATAATGCTCAAAACCAATGATGAAAGCGGATTTTGGTCATATTTATCGACATAAATTGCACTATCTGATACATTCCTAAAACAATATTTTTCTTTTTTATGTTTTTTGTTTAGATATGTTATTCGATGGACACGTCTTCCAATAAATTCAGAAGATTTTGTTTCACTTTTAATCTTTTCAAATTATCTCGATATGGAAAATGGTCCACTTTGGACAGCATGTCGTACAAATGGTTATTCTTATGGTGTTGCTTTTGATTTTGATTTTGAAACAAATCTTATTCTTCTATCAATAAATCAATGTTCTCAATTAAAATTAGCCTATACAAGTGCTATAGAAACATTAAAAAATATCGTTGAACATAAAACATCTTTAGATCCAAAACGAATAAATGCTGCACGAAATTTAACAATTTGTATGCTTACAGAACATTTAGCAACATTAGGTCGTGTAACAAGTATTTGTATTCGTTCATATCTTAATTCATATTCAATTGAAAAATATCGAAGTTTATTAAATGAAATTAATTCATTTATTTATAATGAAGATATACTATTGAAAATAATTGAAAAATATTTATCACCATTAATTAATGATAATCAATCATCAACATTAATACTTGTTAATACAAATAAAATGAAACAAACACAAGAATTTCTTGATAAAGAACATAATATTAAAAATGTTATATTAATTAAAGATGTTGTTAAACATTTATGTCGATAGATTAGAACAACGAAAAAGAAGAAACGAACTTTTTAACAGTGCTATTTTTTCTTTGTTTAATAAATAATAAAAATTGAAAAAAAGCAAACATTCAGCGGTTAATATTTAAAAAAAATCTTTTTTTTTTTTCATTTTTTTTCTTCAGATGTTCACAAGACAAAGCCATTTGATTAATCTATTTGTTCGAAGAAGTGATGAAAATTTTTCAATTGTAAATAAAAATAAAATGAAAAATTTTCTTCTTTTTGTTATTGTATAGCAAATGTATTCAAACAGTGTGCAATGTCAACAAATGTTGGTTCATCTCTTTTTACATTATCAGAATCACATGAAATGCTTCGCAAAACCTGCCGTGATTTTGCTGATCGAGAATTAAAACCAATCGCTGCAGAACTTGATAAAACACATCGATATCCAACAGAAATTGTTTGTTATATTTTAAAGATATAGCAGCAAAATACATTCAAAAATAATTGAAATATTTGTTTAGGTTAAAAAAATAGGTGATCTTGGTTTGATGTGTGTTGAAGTCGATGAATCATTAGGTGGCTCTGGTTTAGATGCACTTGCTTATGCTATTGCTATGGAAGAAATATCACGTGGATGTGCCAGTACTGGTGTTATCATGTCTGCTCATAATGTAAGGTTTCTATTGATTAGAATAATAAAAAAAAGGACAAAATACCTATTATGAAATTATTCAAATTTTAAGACACTCGGATATATGAAAAATTTAGCTGGAAGTTTTATGCTAAAACGAACATGAATCGAATTTAGTCTATTCAATTTATTGAAAATTCTAGTGAAAAACAGCAAAGATTTCAGTCTTGAATTGATTCCATATGTATTCTTGAAATATATCAAATTACTAACTATTGGTTTCAGAATGTTCCGTTTTTCTGCTTGCTTTCTATAAATAGAAAAACAAACTTTTTTTTTGTTCAATCATTAGCTCAATACAAGCATCATAAATTATCTGTAACAATAGTATATATAATATTCAAATAATTTTCTATAGAATTCTTTTAGTCTCTTTACATTGGACCTATTGTAAAATATGGAAATAAACAACAAATCGAACAGTTTGTCAAACCATTTCTTCATGGTGATCGTGTTGGATGTTTTGCTCTTTCTGAACCTGGTTTGTTAAAATGCTCTTCTTATACTAGATCGAATATTATTATTATTATTATTCATCAGGTAATGGTTCCGATGCCGGTGCAGCAAGCACTACAGTTAAAGAACATGATAGTTCAAGTTATGTAATTAACGGTACAAAATCATGGATGTAAGTAAACAAAAGAAACAAAGAAAAAAAACTTTGATAAATTTTATTTTGATAAAAATTTTAGTACTAATGGATATGAATCCGAAGCAGCTGTTATCTTTGCAACAACTGATAAATCACTTAAACATAAAGGCATTAGTGCATTTCTTGTCAAAAAACCAACAGAAGGCTTATCATTAGGCAAAAAAGAAGATAAATTAGGTATCAAAGCTAGTTCAACATGCAATCTTATATTTGATGATTGTATAATTCCAAAAGAAAATTTACTTGGTAAACAAGGTGATGGATTCAAAATTGCAAGTAAAACACACATTAATAAAATTAAGTTTTTGTCTTAGATTTTTATCTATTTTATATTTAGTGGCAACACTTGATTCAGGTCGTATTGGTATAGCAGGTCAAGCATTAGGAATTGCTCAAGCATCACTTGAATGTGCAATTGATTATGCACAAAAGCGACAAGTATTTGGTAAACAATTAACACAAATGCAAGCTATACAAATGAAATTAGCTGGTAAATTATCCGAAAAAAACATAATAATAATACTATTAATTTTTCTTCTATGTAATTCTTTGTTTTTTTCTTTTTAGATATGGAAATGCGTTTACAATCTGCTCGTTTATTAACATGGAAAGCTGCAGCATTGAAATCATCTGGGCAACCATTTACAAAATTTGCTGCAATGGCAAAATTAGCTGCATCAGAATGTGCTACATTTAATGCTCATCAAGCTATACAAATTTTAGGTGGAATGGGTTATGTTAGTGATATGCCAGCTGAACGTCATTATCGTGATGCACGCATAACAGAAATATATGAGGGAACTAGTGAAAGTAAGATTTTATTCATATGATTAATTAATTTAATTATTTTTTTATATTTAGTTCAACGATTAGTAATTGCTGGTAATCTTATTAAAGAATATAGTGCAACAAATGCTTAGACGTTAATATCATTTTTTTTGTTGAAATTGATTATTTTACCAACTAAGACATTTAGTTGTGATTTAGCGTCGTGAATTATGTTTTTTTTTTTGTATTCAAATCGTTTAAAAATATGACTAATAAAAGAAATATACTTTGGAGATTACCGAAGTAATAAAGAATTTTGAATTTATCTTGACAAGTATGGTTAATAGAATGAATGTAAATATTAAAAAAAAAACTGTTTTTTGGTTACGACTAAGATAGACTTATCATCTTACTGCAATATTCATATGATAAAATACAGGTATGTTATTGTTAACCAAGAAAACAAATGAAAAGAGAATGAGACGTTACTATATTAAAAAACCAATGATCATAGATTATGGTATCCTTGGTATCTAAACACATAATATTTTTCTTGACGATGAAGTATTTCATAGTCAAGGTACTCCTATCAACTATAGACTGGAGTATTTGATTAGTTGTTATTCTCATTAAGTATTTACCTACCATTATCATTATATTATATGAATAATTAGTGTTCATAGCAAAAATCAGCATTGAAGTTTTTCTTTTTTCGTCTGTGTTAATATAAAGCTTCTTGACAACATATTAAACGGAATATGTTAAATGACATATAGAAACAGTTACAATCGACAGCTGTGTCGTGCATGTAATGTACTTTTTTTTCTTTTAATAAAAACGATACTTGAACAGCTAGCATTAAATATTGCTGTTGTTGTTGTTGTTGACGTCGTAAGTGCTGTTATATGGTGATGATGTAAATGACTTGCTGCCATCACAACAACTATATATTCATGTAGAATAAAATTGTTTTCGTATTTTATGAGAAAAGAAGAGAAGAAAAAAAAGAAAAAAAGCCAGAAGACATAAATAAACAGTTCATTATAAAATTTAGAAAAGAGAGAGCAATCTATACAACAGCATGCATAAACGATAGAATCTATTAAATTCTTGACTTTGTAAGTCTGCAATGTTTCTTTTCTTTTTAAATTGCTTTTCCGGTCTGTCTTATATTCAACATTTTTATTTTTTAGTAGACTAATATGGCAATTGACGAAACAATAACAAGACCAAAATCAATGATTGCATCAACTCACAGTTTTACTAAGATAGCATACGATAAAACTAATAAAAGTGCCCATGTTCCTACACGTTTGGGTCATCTTCTTGTTCGTAAACAACGTATTGAACGTTGGGCATTTAAAGAACGAAGTTCATCAACTAGTAATACAGCAACAACAACATCGGCCTCATTAGGAACAGTATCAGCACAAAAACGTTCAGAAAGTACATATTCACAAATCGGTCGAAAACTCAATATTCATTTACTTCAATTAAGTGAACAACGACAAAAAGTAATTGAACGAAGAAATTTCGATCAAAAATTATTTGCTAATAGACAAGCATTAAAACATAAAGACAATCCAGCTGTACTTAAGTAACAAAAATAAAACTAATTCTTTTCTTTTTCTTCAATATATAAAACTTAATTATGTTTTTCTTTTTTTGTTCAATATAGAACATTAAATTATGTTCGAAAATGTTGTAAATATGCTGATACAAATGATGATGAAGAAAATCATATTGATCCAAAAATATTTTTAGAAGAAAATTCATCACCTAAACGAAGTCGATCCCGATCACCATCTGCGACACCATCACCAATTAAAAGAATTTTATCAGCTAATGCACGTACACAAACAAGTGCATCACTTGCTGAAACATTTCTTAAACATAATAAAAAACATATTCAATCATATGGATCATCACCAATAAACAGAAAATTAACTGAAAGTAAAACTAATAGTGATACGGTATGTATTAAAACAAAAAAGAAATGACTTCTCAATAAAGTACTCCTTGAGATTTATCACTTCATAGACAATCGTATGACAGACGTAACTAGAATGAATTATGGTTTTTACAGATATCACTTTCTTTAAGTTATATTGTTATATAACTTTGCAGAGATATAAAAAATTTCATGTCATATAAATGTCAATATTGTTAATCAAACATTCGAAATGAAAAACAAAATTCAACATATTCATATAGAAAAATTAAATCAATAAATAATAATTAACTTATTTTTCTTTAGCCAATTGTTACAAATTCAAGTGAAACACCCGTTGATGATGATTCTCAAAAACGTCATGTTCAATTTCGAATACATACGGATGGTACATATTTAACTAGTCAATCAGCTCATGTTGTCAGTAAATCACATCCATACAGTGCAGACAAACAAATACTACGAAACATGACATCAGCAAATGGTATTCAATCATCTAGTTCCACATATGATAATCGTACAACGAAATCAGCTCCACCAGTGAGAATAATATCATCTAATATTGATAATATAAATGAACAAATAAAACATTCAGCAAGATCAAGACGATCATTATCACGAATAAGTTCAGCAAAAAGTTCATTACAAGAATTTCGTCTTCATCCAGAAAGATTTCTAAGTGCATCAAATCGTTATTTACCATTACTTCGTCGGCAAACTACAGATATTGAATCAAGAGATTATTATAATAGACAACAAAAAGAAAAAAATGATTTAATAAAAAAACAACGAATCAATTTTTCACCACCTATTTCACGTCTTTCTGATGGATCTGATTTAACATATGATGAAGCTAAATCATTTCTTAGTGATGATAATGATATTGGGTTTGTTCGATTAAATATTTTTCTTTTTTGATTCTCTTCATCTTTTTTTCAAATTTTTTCTTAATAGAAAATATACACCTCGTACACCACCACCTAATTGGATGGTACAAGACCGTAAAAATACTAAGAAAATTCGTCCTTCAAGTAAAATTGATATGATGCAAACAGATAATGATGATACATCGGAACGTACAATGGCTATAGCACGTCTTCGTGATCGTGAATATGCTCATTTAAATGAACTAATACGTTCAAATCCTATTGAACAAATTCTTGAACCATTTTCGGAAATAAAAACCGATAAACGCAATCATACAGGTTTTGATCAAAAAAAAGTGTCAAGTGTTCAACGACAACCTATTGAATCCATTGCCGATCAATCAACATTAAAATCAACAAAAATACGTCAACTTGGTGATATTTTACATTCAATTGATTCATTACGTTGTTCAGATACGAATGATGGACGTACACGAAGAAAAGTTGATTTAGAAAAAAATCGAGAAAAGCTAGGTATTCTTATATTTTAATAATTATAAAAAAAAATTTTTTTTCTTGTTCTTTTTTACAGATCGTATTGTATTTTTTTTTTGTTTTAATCTAAATAAATATATCATAATTAAACATCGAGATAAAGTCTTTTTCTTATATGATATATATATATATATGTAATTATATATGTATGTAATGCCTTGAAGCAAAGCAAAGCCTAGTTGATTATTGACATATTTATTCATTTATCGATTGATTATTTATTTTTATGTGATACTTTGCATAATATAACTAAGATACAGATTGCTTTTGTTTTTCTCAACGATTGTTATCTGTTTACAAAAAAACAACATTTTCGAACAATATTTTAGTCTATTTATTAGTACTCATCATTAATCGGATTTCTTTTGAATTGTTAGAACAAGATAAATGTTCTGTTAATGTCTATTTATTCGTTTTTCTTTCCACAGTAGAACAATCGATCACGATTTAGAGCGTTTTAAAAACGGAAACGCGTCCGATAACGGCCGAGCCGCCAATAGGTAAATAATACTTTTCGTTTATGCATCCGGCTTTGCTAATTCAAGCTCATTTGTATTATAATCAACGTAGTAGAGAAAAAAAAAAGAAACAGCCTACTTCTCTTCCAATCTCTCATAGTCTTTTCTTTAAATGAAAAAAGATCGATTTTTTTGTTGTTCATTTCTTTCTTTCGTATTTTTTTTCCTAACATATTATTATAGATAGTCTTCCAAGGTACAATCTTTTCATACGTGAATAAATTAGCGTTTACCGATGAGACAAAATACAGATTGACATTAGAGAACAAAGCATTTAGTATATGCTCGCAATAAAAAAAAGGAAAATTTATAACGATATTCTCCGATTGCTCTAAGATTACTTTTTTCTTCGTTTGAAAATCTGTCATTGTGCTCAATTATTGAAAACACGATCGGGTAAAAAAAAAAAAGAGCAATGACGATAGAACAAACGACAACAATCAATCTCGTCGATTAAAAGCTTTTTCTATCTTTTTCATAATATGAAAGATTGAACAGAAATCTTCATATTTGCTTCTTTTTTTTTTCTTTTTATTTGAAACGCTCTATACCAATATGATTATCGTGTGAAAATAAAAGCCGTCCAATGGTTAAACGTATCCTAAGTCATCATAGTATTCATACTGCTGATCGTAAGTTGTTGAAATCGATCATAATTAATCCATAATAAAAGAAATTTCTTTTCAGATGAAAATAATAATATGAAACGAAGACATTCATTGGAAGATACTCCTTTAACGAATAATCGTACAAATTCAGCACCTATGATACATAATGATACATCAATAGAAGATGAATGTCATCATCATAATTCAGTAAAAAAACATAGTATAACAATTGTTAAGGTCAATACAACAGAATTAGCCATAAATAAACCAAATGAAGAACAAACAGAAGCACGTGAACAATGGAGTGAAAAACTTGATTTTCTTTTATCTATTATTGGTTTTGCTGTTGATCTTGCTAATATATGGCGTTTTCCATATTTATGTTACAAAAATGGTGGAGGTTTGTTAGAAAGCATATTTGTGTATGTGTGTATGTTTTTTCTCAACATTTATTTTAATTTTTTATTTAGGTGCCTTTCTTATTCCGTATGTTCTTTCAGTTGTACTCGGTGGTATGCCTTTATTTTATTTGGAGCTTTTGCTTGGACAATATTATCGACAAGGTGCAATAACATGTTGGAGAAAAATTTGTCCATTATTAGCTGGAATCGGTTGGGCTGTAACTATAATTGCATTCTATACTGATTTTTATTA